CGGGTGAGGGGCAACTTCTTCTCAAAGACCCTCAAATAAATGCTTGTTAATACTAGTTGTGTTTTTGTCACAGCTTTTCCCATTCAGGAGCCTTGATCTACAGAGCCACTGTTGTTAAAGCACTGTCCCACACCTACTTCAGCAAACAAGCCCTGTAAATATAATAAAGGTAAAGGTTTCCCTTGCTCGAACTCTAGGGCACAGTGCTCATCAGTTTCCAAGCCGAAGAGCCAGCACTGTCCGAAGATGTTTCTGTGGTCATGTGGCCAGCATGACTAGACACCGAGGCGTACGGAACGCTGTTGCCTTCCCACAGAAGTGGTACCTATTTATCTATTTGCAATTTCTAGCTTTCGAACTGCTAGGTTGGCAGGAGCTGGGACCAGAGATGGGAGCTCACTCCCTCATGCAGCACACTCGGGTCTCGGTCTGCAGTTTAGCATCTTAACTATTGAGCCACTGCAGCCCCAAAAATATAATAAAACCTACTGATAAATTCTAATCACCAGTGTCAGGCTGTTGTCTCCCTTGGAAATTCACTTGTTGAAGCATAGTGACTTTTAGATCAGCAACAAAGTGATGCAGTGGACTGAAATGTTCTCCCAACATTTCTTAATGTTACTTTTTTGGCATAAAATAAAACAGTGAGTCTTTTTCTTCACATAAATGAGCCTGTTTGTCTTGGGTAAACAGCAGAAGGGTGTTGTTGATGGATGGTTGTACTAGAGGATGAGCAGATGTATGAGCACCGGCTGGTAGGGCTGTTATTATTAGGTCCTGTAATTGCGTTGTCTGAATTGATGAGAGAACAAAGCTGGCATCTGGGTTTGACAAATCTGAAAGGTAGCCAAAGTAGATTTGTGCATTACAGCACCGGGTTCTATTTCCCTGTAATTCAGTATATCAGACTTGTATCCTTTGGGAGCTTCTTTTGTCTTTAAAAATATTTCACTATGGTATAAATTTATATTTCATAACACAAAGTATCATGTCGATTGATATAATCAGCATTTCAGTGTAAAATCCTGGACAATTTCAAAATTACTTAAATAAGGGGTTGCAGCTATAGTGCAGATCTCTAGAACTGGTGATACCAACTTTGTTCTGAACTTTGCCCAGAAACTTGTTCTGAAGAGATGGGACATTGTGATGCAAAGGATCGTCATTGGTTGTGAATAAATTAATTTTAAAATAAGGTGCACCTGACAATTAGGGATATGCACATTTATTTCGTATTTAATAATTTTTCATTTAAATGATTGTTATTTGTTTTTATTCATTTTTATCATTTTTTCCCATTCCCATACTGCACCTGTCACCTCCTCTGCCACTTCATTTGAGATGCAAATATCCAGAATTTCTCCCTCAAGGGATCCTCTCTGACAAAGCATCCCTATGTAAAGTGGGCCGAGAGAAACTTTGGCAACACAAGCCAAGAAAGCAGACATGAAGGCAGAGCAGACACAGATGCTTACATCTGATGTCTTGAGAAAGGGAGCATGGAAAAGAGGGCTCTGGTCTATCCTTGGGTCTTGCCCCCCCTGAGGCTATTCCGTCATATTGCTACACATTAAAGATTCCAAGACAATGCAGAGCGTTCACCTTGGCGAGACTAAACTCCTTCCCCTCTAAGGTGCTCTCTGGTCGTTTCTTGGGACTTCCGTTTTTGGAACGTGTCTGCGATTGTGGACAAGAGATGTTAGAAACTATGGATCATATAATGCTTTTCTGTCCTAAGTGGAATAAGGAAAGAGAGAGATACATCATTCCCGTTATGAGAAAAGGAAAGCTTCCTCTCCTTCCTTGGGTAGTTTCAGTGCTTTTGTCTGATAACTTCCCTGACAATCAAACCACGGCTATAGTGGCTTCCTTTCTAGCTGCGGTGATTAAGAAAACAAATCTCCCTGAGTTTAATTAGTTTATTGCTGATAACTGTCGACCTATATACAAATTTGATAATTTTAAGTGTGTGCTGATTTTTGTTGTTGTTTTTTTTTGTTATTTTTATTCTGTACAGTTGCTATGGCTTTCTTGCTAATGCAATAAATATTATTATTATATATAATAAGAAAAAAATGCTATCAGGAAGGCACTACGTTTAGAAAGAATGTGACAGACATGGAGGGAATTGAATCAGGCCAGGAACCTTGCAGCAGTACCATCCACTGTCCATTGTGACATAGCCAGCTTAGATTTTTCTCTCCACTTTCCATAAGAATGAAACTGCATGTTGAATGTAGTTTTATGATTCTCCTAACCAAGATATGTTTTATAATGTAATGGAGCCATATCATCAGGGTTCTATCGTTTATCATTACTCATTGCAGAGCAAATATGTGTTGAGAGAAGACCGCAGATACCTCAGTCCTTCAATAAGATGAAAGCATGGGATGGACAATAGGCACACAGGCATCGACACTACCTGTTGTTGGGGAGGGGTATTCACCTGTACCCACCCCCAGTTTGCAGTGTTGCTTGTGTGCCAGAATGTTGAAAGCAGGTGCAACACTGGTGAGCTGGCAGATCCTCTCTTTCTCCCTCTGATAGCCATAAACTCTGAGCCAGACAGGCAGATGCTGAATGAACAATTCTAAATATTGCCACTTTTTTCAATTTCGATAGTTATAAGGGATACAGCTAATTCTGAACATGGCCCCAGAATGTGGGTCAAAAATCTACACAGTGAGGGCCATGTACAGAGGAAGGGAATTTTTTTGTACAAACCTGGGGCAGCTGCTAGGTTTGTAGAAAAACCTGAAACAAAAAAAAATTATGAAGAGGCTTTTGAAAGGCTCACCAAACAGAGAATACCAACAAAATTCTTGTAAAATCTCACATGATCAAGAATGGCATTGTGGAGCTCCCTAGCAACTCTACCAGAATGACAGGCTTTTGGCCTGGAAAGGCAATGGAAACAGCAATTGGGATGCAAGAAGGAAGTGAAAAGTGGTGATGGAATGGGGAAAGGAGAAGAAAAATTGCTGAGGGGTTAAGAAAGGTGGGCAGAAAAGTGTTGAAGAACCATAGAAAGAGGGAGTGAAAAGTAAGGGGATGAAAACAGGTGAGATGGGGGTGGAGAAGGGGATGTGGAAAGTGCAGGTGGGTGAGACAAAGTTGATGGGAAAGGTGATAAAAAGCAGCAAGCAGGGGTGGGGACATGGGGTAGCAAAAAGCAGAGGTGATAGAAAAGGGGAGCAAAAAACAGATATGTTTCTTATGTAAATTAACAATTTGTCCACTATATAGGGGAGGGGAAATGGAAATGGACAGCCTTTTGCCAATCCTAAAATGGCTTTCCTAGTATGAATAAGTCAGTAACTTCTTCTGGCTGGTGGTGTTCTGGAGCACAGAGAACATGGCACTGGTGCCATCCTGGACATCTTAAAATAGTTTGAAACAAACATTGAGAAATTAACAGAACACTCCTAAGGCTGCCAATGTGTCACGGGCCGGCCATATCTAGTAAGTATCCTGTGTTTTCTCAGCAAAGGTGTATTTTAAATAATACAGCTCCAAGGTGAAGAGAGCACAGCAACTGCACTGAAGCCTATAGCAATACCATCACAAACAATACTACTCACAAGAGTGATGCCAGTGATGTTTCTATGTCAGCTATGTATGAAAAGCCAACCAGAACTCAGTGCCAGTCTGCCTCCCTGAAAGCACCATGTTATACCCTCTCATAGAAACAAAGAAAACACACCCTATACTATGTGGAGGATTGTAACATGCCTAGTAGAAGATCTGGAACAACTGTACTGCAGTGAGCTGCACAGGCAGGGGTTTGAATTCTTCCCTGATACTCATTTGACAGGTCAACAACACAGGAAAGGAGGCATGGTCACAACAACCTTATTACCCAGACATCTCCACAGGTCACTTAGGCGAGAAAAACCAAAGAGAAAGTCCATGGATTAGCCAATGCAAGGATTCCTGTCTGGAGTGGAGAGGGAGAAGTAATTTCATGCAAGGTAAGGGGAACTCTACCACTCTAATGGCAGAAAGTGAAGATCTGAAGAGCCTCTTGCTCAGGGTAAAAGAGGAGAGCGCAAAGGTTGGCTTGAAACTTAACATAAAAAAACCTAAGATCATGGCATCTGGCCCCATCACTCCTTGGCAAATAGAAGGAGAAGTCATGGTAGCAGTGACAGACTTCACGTTCTTGGAATCCAAGAAAGTCCGCATGGTCAAAGCAATGGTATTCCCAGTAGTCATGTATGGCTGCGAGAGTTGGGCTATAAGGAAGGCCGAGCGCTGAAGAATAGATTCTTTTGCATTATGGTGCTGGAGAAGACTCTTGAGAGTCCCCTGGACTGCAAGAAGATCAAATCAGTCAATCCTAAAAGAAATCAACCCTGACTGTTCCCTGAAAGGCCAGATATTGAAGCTGAAGCTCAAATACTTTGGCCACCAAATGAGAAGGGAGCACTCACTGGAGAAGACCCTGATGCTGGGAAAGATTGAAGGTCAAAGAAGACGGGGACGGCAAAAGATGAGATGGTTAGACACTGTTATCGAGGCAACGGACATGAAATTAAGCAAACTCCGGAGCATGACGGAAGACAGGAGGGCCTGGCATGATGTGGTCCATGGGGTCGTGAAGAGTTGGACTTGACTATGAAACTGAGCAACAACAAGGGGAACTCAGACAATGGAACCAGCAACAAGTAAATACATAGTTGTATATTCACTGAAGGCATTACTGTCATCTTCCCACTCATTCCGTGGAACAATACATTCATGTGAGGGTTTTAAATTCAACTAAAGGGAAATCTGGGAGTAAGGCA